GGGAAAGAGGTGAGTTTTAACTCCTTATATTTTACAAGGTGATCACACAGAGAGCTTTAAGTGGCATGTGTTCATTATGGTAATAGCATATAACTGATGCATCATCGTAGGTGATGTATGACTATGAAGACAAAATTAACCAGGCTGTTTTCCCTGGACTGCAAGGTGGTCCACACAATCACACTATAACTGGTCTAGCCGTTGCACTGAAGCAGGTTGACTCACTGACTACTTCCCAAAACTATGTTCTCTGGTCTAATTTGTGCTTTCTGATTAGAGTCATATCTGATTGATGATTAAACGTAGCATTCTCTTGGCCTAGTTCGTGTACATTTGAATTATTGGTTTCTTTAATTGAAGGTCAAAACACCCGAGTACAAGGCTTACCAGGAACAAGTTCTCAGAAATTGCTCAAAGTTCGCTCAGGTAAGATGTGCTGCCGTTTGGTCATATACTTAGAAATTTAAACAATCAGCTAATATGCCACATTTATCCTGTCATATCTGTCATACTCTCCACTATAATAGTCTCATTATTTATCCTTCAAATGATTTGAATCTTGATCTTCAGACCTTGCTAGAGAAAGGGTATGACTTGGTGTCTGGAGGAACTGAGAACCACCTAGTCTTGGTGAATCTGAGAAATAAGGTATCTCCAGTGCCAAACTCCCTTTTCTGTCTTTACTTGCAAGCCTGAAACAGCTCTTATCTGCTTTAAAGAAACGAAATAACTTGAATCCTGAAATGTACTATAAACGAACAAATTAACGATGATGGTTTTGAGTAATCCCTTATGTTACTACAATCAAGGGATTGTAACAGATTGAGAAATCTAGTTCTATATCCAAATGCTTTGTGCTTTATTGATTTGCGTAAATGGGCTCATTTCTTTTTTTACGAATAAGAAAGATGCGATTTTTTTTGGTAAAATCATGAAAGCTCAATAAGCAGCAATAATGATGCCAAATCTCTTCTGCTACATGTGCTGATATATTATTGGCACTACCCTCTTGGGAACTTGGTTTTGCAGGGAATAGATGGATCAAGAGTGGAGAAAGTCTTGGAATCTGTACATATAGCTGCAAACAAGAATACCGTCCCGGGCGATGTTTCTGCCATGGTTCCAGGTGGCATCCGTATGGGTATGTCTGCTACAGAAACATCGAAAAAGTGATTTTGGGTTTTACATTAGCAGATTTCTTTTTAAAAAATTTACTGGTATGTTCTTGGCATTTCCATAACGAGGTCAATTTTATTATAGAGATCGGTTAATCACAATTTATTTTTGGTTTTGCTCACCTTCTTCTCTGCGGTAATATGCAGGAACACCGGCTCTCACATCTAGAGGATTTGTTGAAGAAGATTTCGCGAGAGTTGCTGATTTCTTTGACGCATCTGTCAAGTTGGCCTTGAAGATCAAGTCCGAGGCTCAAGGTCTTTTTGTTTCTTTCCTTATACAAAATGTGAAAAACCCGTCTTTTTTTCATCTTTTTCCTTGCTAAAATTCTTGCCATAAGGATTTTATTTTCTTTTCCATTACTGAATGCAGGGACAAAGTTGAAGGATTTTGTAGCAACAATGGAATCAAATGAGCGATTCCAATCAGAGATCGCAAAGCTTCGCAAGGAGGTCGAGGAATACGCAAAACAGTTCCCAACTGCAGGATTCGAGAAAGAGACAATGAAATACAAAGACTAAAATGATCGATATACGCTCTCCACATGTATAATAATGCTAGGTATGTCCCCAGCCGCATTCACATATGCATATGCTTATGCCTGTATATATATGTATATGCATACACATTGTTCATTGATATTGATTATGGATCAAACTTTTATTGCAGATCTCTCTATGCTCCTTGATCCCATGTGTTGTTTAATTGAACATGACAATGCTCAGATGGGGAGATCTAATATCCAACGCATGTTGATAGGGTGGTGATTCCATCTTCTTTCTGGACGCCTGTTGTTTGATTATTGTTTTGTTTTGTTTCCTTCATCAATAAAATTTGAAATGTAATGCTATGGACGGACCAAAGATGTTTCAATTTCTTGCAACAGAAATCCATGCCTATGCAGTCTGATGTGTTCTGTTGTCAACTGGCTCATTTTGTTTTATAGTCAGTGTCTCGTTGCTTCGTGTGGGTCATTTTTTTCCTTGTAGAACCTCTGAGTGGAACAGAAGGCTGTTTCGGACTTGGTACATCATTAGGAGAGCCGAACAACTGTTGATTGAACAATTTGGTTTTTAACCGAATTATAGAAATAACTCTCTAATCAAATTGAATTCAAAATAAAAAATTGAATATTTATGATTTTTTTTAAATCGAATTTAAATGGAATTAAAAATAATGAAAAATGATTTTTTTAAGGTGTGTAAAACAGATTTGTTCGGTCTAATCCAATCCGACTCATTCCGATTCCACATCCCAATTTTGTCCATTTTTTATCGGACAAAAATTAACCGACTCAATCCCAATCACCTTAACTCGCGAACCAAACAAATAGCCAAAAATTTAATTTTAAAAAAATCAAATTTAAATATTAAAAAATATTATAAATATTAAAAAATTTACAATTTTAAACAAAATAAACTAAATATCTAATAAAAATATAATTTTTATTAGAATATTTTAAAACAATAATAAAAATTAAAAAAAAATTCCCGACTCGCGAGTCAGTCCATGGATTTGCCGAACTGGCTCGTCATGAACCCGACTCGTGACGAACTGATTCGTTCAATCCATTTTTTTCTGGATTAAATATTCTGAGTCCGACTCGGAAAAATATGGACTAGCTCGCGAACCAACCCACGAACCGGACTCGTTTTACGCTCTAATTTTTTTTTAACTGAGAATTTAAACAAATAAAATTTAATTCAAATCAAATGATTATAATTTTTTAAAATTAAATTAATCGATTAATAACTGAATCCAAAATGACCACTTTAGGAGAAACTATTGACGCATAGTCATGTTTTCTTCGCCAAACAGGTCACAGTTTTGGTGAACGATCAAAGCTTCCATGTATTCATTCAACTTACTTCTCAGTATCACTCTTGTCCCTATTCATTCTACATCGTCACTAAGAAAACTGCAGAACGGTAAGGAAAAATTACTGCGTCATGCTATTAAAAAAAACGCCAACCCGAACAAGAAGCACCCACAACTGCTTTCATCTTTTACTCATCTTATGTGGTAAAAGATTAGTTACCGCAACTCGCAGAAGCCGTGTTACCAATTTCTCAACGCCTTTTACTCTTGGATTTGGGGACTCGGGTTTTCCCAGATTCATCCGACGGCTTCCATATGATATCCTCTAGGTTGCTACAAAATGTCTTATAGAACTGCAAGACGACATCAAACTGTTCTTACTTTGCATAGACAAATCGAAATGAGAAGATTGTCCGAAAGCAGAGACAGGACATAACTAACTGCAAAGACAAATAGTAGCACCGAAACTGACCTTGAGGTATTCATCTGTGTCTCCAGCCGCTTTCTGAATGTCTACCATGAAAAAAGATGGCGCAACTTTGAAGACCTTCAAACCAGTAATTATTCTTGTGAGATGGATTCCGAGTAAAGAAGGGTTATTAGTTCGAGAGACAATGTAAATTTGAGATGACGAGGTTGTTACTTCTAGAATGACGGAGAAATGAGACATCTTGTCTGCAGATAGCCCTTCCACTCTCATCTGAAAACCGAAATGAGTTAAAGGAGTCCGATGTTTAGAGGAATCAAATCACGGGTTCGAATGATGAAACGTGAAATACATCGAGAAATAGTAAGATATCATACAAAAGAAATAAAACAAAGGGACTTAACTCCAATGTCTTTACCTTGTAATTACGAATATGTGTCTTAAAGCCCATGGATTGTGCAACGACTTCCATGCTTGATAGAGCCACTTTTGCCGGCTTGTGTGAGATGAACCTTGTCTGATACTTCATGGAATCCTGTCAAACAGAATGCTAAGTACACTTCCGAGAGATTTCGAGAGATTCGAGTTACATGGATCCGAATCCAAAATTTGGAGAGATTTAAATTTGGAATCCTAGGTTTGTATGTAATTTATTTAAAATCTAAGGGCAAAAGGGTAATTTTACTCGGGTCGACTTTTCCTCATGACCAAACTCAATCTCATCTCATATAATAGTTGGTATCCGAAATCCAGGTGTTTTTGGCAGCCTAATTGGTAGTACCTTCCCACGGTCAAATAGCGTAGCGAGGTTAAGGCCCTGAGACAGAATAATCATGTCGAAGGCATTGAGAAACAGGGGACCTGTATCCTCATTTCCGTTCAGTTCATCGGTTCTTTGTTCCTACAATGTAGAACACCAACATGTGAAATCATGGTGTAGTACAACCAGACAGACAATACTGTTGAAGACACAACATATATGACATTATTGTGAATCCGGAAAAAGTCATGCTATGAGTATCCACAACAGTGAACCAATCAAATTCAAGGGAAAAAAAACAAAAGATTTGTGGCAATTACCAGCTTACCTCAGGATCGCCAAAAGCCGCATATACATCATCGAGGTCCACGTGTTCATAATCAAGAAGTTGTACCGGAGTGTAATCCTTTTGGAACCAGTCATCTTTTCGGATTTCCGCAATTGTAATTCGCTGCAATCACAGTGAAAGAGCGATTAGTAAAAAAAAAGCATGTACCTCAACTTTTTTCAACTGCAGATGAAAGCAGCAACCCTAAATGATTCTCTCCACTGTCGAAAACCGGACACATAAAATCTGCATTTGGAACTTCATCCTGATTGTGATGCATCAGAAATGGAAGATCCTTCCAAATGATCCATGATAATAAAAGAAGAACAAGGTCAAAGAAAAGGCTCCATTGTAACCCATAAAGAAGCTCTACTTCTTAAGATGTACCTACCTACTAATCTTAGTAATTGATAAATAGATAAAACTAAATATCTTGGCACCACCAGATGGTTTTTAAATTGACGAATTCCATACAGCTATCTTTTGTTCGATATGCAAGTCAATATATCAGCAGATACAGCAGTTGGGAGCCAAAAAGTACAAGGGGAAATCCAGAACTTACTGTTTCGGGATTTGGATCCAAAATTCTATGAATCAAAGACTTTGCTCCCAAAGGAAACCAAGTCGGGCAAGAGAATTCTGCTCTATCGATCTGCAAACTCGTGAGGGTGTAAAAAAAAAAGAGAAGGAAAACCCTGTCTCAGAATAAAAAGTAGAAAGAGAATTCACAGTCATGTAAGAATCATGTAAAATGATTCAGACAATCATGAGAAACGTCTTGTTTTGCATATCCTATTACAAGGGTCTACTCATAATCCTTCCCTATCAAAATGCTCTAGTGGGAAAGTGAGGCTAAATCGAAATCAACTTTGGTGGAAGATCGCGCACTTTGGTTAACATTAAATGATTTTTCTTTTAAAGAAACATAAACCAGCAAAAACAATAGAGCTCATGCCTTACTGTATAAAGTTGTGAGATCAAGTTCATCAAATGGAAGGAAACCTGCCATAAGAACATAAAGGATGACCCCACATGACCAAACATCGGCAATTGCACCATTATAGCCCTTGTGGCTGAGAACCTATAACACGAACAGAAACTGACATGAACCGTGCTCAAAAGAAGATCGTTGTGTTTCCAAAAGATAATGGATATGATTTACCTCCGGTGCCACATAATTGGGAGTTCCACAGGTTGTCTTGAGGAGGGTAACTCCCTTCAGATAAAAGCAAAATATTCATCGATTCTGTTACTAAAATTATCGTAAGTAAACGTTATTTGAGATTAAAAAAACAGGGAAAACGACTGCTAGGGCTCTTGCTTAGTTTCTTACTTCCTCAGGCAATGCACTGAGACCGAAATCAGATATCTTTAGATCCCCTTGTGAATCCAGGAGAAGATTTTCTGGCTGCAATGAAAAGAACACAACAATCAGAGATAAAAATGATGGGAGAGTGAAACTTCTATCGAATTCACACCAAAGAGCACCTTTAGATCTCGGTGGTAGACCCCTTTACTGTGACAGTAATCAACTCCCTCGATAAGCTGTTGAAAGTATTTCCGAGTTTCTGCTTCACTAAGACGGCCATGACGAACCTGAAACATTCAGCCCAATCTACCACTAAACAGAAAAATCGAAAAGCAAGAACTAAAACAGAAAAACATCGAGAAAACTTGCGGGGTCACTGAGTCGAGCTACTCACAATTTTATCAAACAATTCACCGCCTGTAATGTACTCCAGGATTATGTAGATCTTAGTGCGGCTTGCAAGAACCTACGGATCAAAATATCATTCATAGTTGAAACATAACTCATTATTAGCGACAGAACAAGCTTTATGTCTGTTCAAGAAACATGAAGCATGACGAGGACTTGCCTCGTGGAGACGAACAACGTAAGGATGACGAACAAGCTTCATTATCGATATCTCCCTCTTAATCTGCAAACTCAAAACAATGATATGAAGTCTGTTTCCATATTTGGTCAGATTCCGATTAAAAGAAAAACAGAATCTATGTAGCAGTTCGCTGAATCTATCAAAATGACAAAGTTTCCATTCTTATCCACAATTCGAATTTCCCCTCGCTCATAGACCCATTTTCCAGCTTCCCAATTCCTGAATTCCTGGACAAGTAGGAGCGGAACACGAGATAGAACCTGATCGACCATCTTGCGCTTGATGATGGTGCCTCGATCGACAACTTTCATGGCGACACTCTCTCCGGTCTCGGTGTTCTGCGCGAACTTCACCTTCGCGAAGGTCCCTTCGCCGATTGTCCTCCCGATTTCGTACTTCCCCACCTTCCTCACCACCATCTTCAAAAACACCTTCCTCTACTCTTCTACAACTTCTCTGCATTCAGAGAGAGAGAAAAACAGAGGGAGATTTCCTCCCAGAAAAAAGCTAACTGAAAGAGAGTTAAGCAACCAGGAAACTTGTAAAGCCTAAAAGAAAGAAAAAAAACCCTCTCAGTCAGTAGGAACGGTCCCAAAATGGAAGAGAGAGGCATAAAAGCTTCCAAGCTATTCCCAAGTAAAATAAAATTTTCCGGGAAAATTTCCCCTTTTGACGGAAAATTTGTCTGAAAAACTGGGAAGATCTCAACGTGAAAGAAACATATTTCTTCAAATAAAAAATGAGGCTTCAGGGTTTCGAGGATTCGGTGGGAAATCAAAGAAACGTGTTCTGCGACTAACCTCTAAATCCTATATCAAGGGAGGAAAATAATTAATTTATTTATTTATTGGTTCATGAACGTCATGCTTACAAGTACAAATACGTCTAAACTCTATGAACATACATTTATACGTATTATATCACCCGATATACGACAATTATTAGTTTATCTATTTTATACCAAAGAATATTTTAAAAATAATTTTGGTGTAAATTTCAGGGTTTAGTTTCCATTAATTTATTATCATTTTTTAAAATTTAATTAATTTTTAACTATATTTTAATACGTTTTTTTATTTGAAAACTTATTTTCTAAAAAAATTATTTACATTCAAGTTTATTATATTTGGTTGAAATTATATTTGACCTGCTTTGGTTTGATTTTATATGTTACTTAATATGTTATATATATTTAAATATATTTTTGAATGTGACAAAATATTCTAGGCTTCAATGATACATCTTACTTCTCACATCCACCATCTTTTTTTTAAAAAAAAAAATCTTTCATATAAAATAAACATTATATAATGTCCTTTTGCAAATTAAAATGGTATCCATATAAATTAAACCAGAAATTCTAATGCCAACGAAATTTAAACAGTAATCCTTAAAAAGCTCATGTTTTTCAAACTTACTCTTTTCGAAAACTATATAATATAGGCAATTATGTATTTATATAATATATGGTTTTGATATATTATCATGTGGTAGATATATCATGGGTTTGTGTTGGAGTTTGATGCTGAGAATGTTGACATGTGTAATATAATTTAATCGTATGAATCTTTAACAAGTGGAATAAAGACAAAGAACGTGAAAGATCCGGATCTGTTTTTTTAATGGTGATAATCTTGGATTAACTAAATAAATAATAAACTTTAGAATTTGTTTGCATTATCTTTCCTACCACGTTATCAATAAAATTAATTTTAATTATTAATATTAGTTTGCATAAATTTATTTAATTTCATAAAAAAAATTGTTATCATAGAATTTAAAAAATAGTGTATACATATAGACATTAAAACCCCAAATCTGTCATTTTTATACCAAAATAAAATTATTGATACCACAAAATATAAAACATTTAAAAAAATGGTCGGTTGGGGCTATTGTTGGGGCAAATGAAAATGAAAATTCTTGTGGGTGTTGCTATCAATGGAAGACAAATATTTCAAAGTTGACCATAGATAGCAAAGAAAATAATAAATAACATATATATATATATATATATATATATATAAAGTATTTGAATAATAAGTTTTTTTTGGGTATAAATTTGAATAATAAGTTATTTTCAGTAGTCATGGAAAGTTACGTTGGAAACCACTTTCAAACATGTCACGGGGGTTTTGTCACAACATGAAAAACCCTAGTGGTAGTTTTATAATAATTATTCATATTTGGCTAAATAATGAATATAAAAATAGCACACCTTTTCTTATTTGCATATATTTCCCTCAATAATATATAAGAAATTTATGGCAAGTAAAACCAAAATCACTGTAGAAAAAGAAGAATCTCTAATTTCCCTCAATAATGATATGTCTATTTGATAATATAAGAAGGATTTGTAAAAACTGATAATTTTTCTTTTATTAAAAATTAATGATACAGTTACAGAAAAAATTGTAGCTAACCCAAATTTATTAGTTCAACCGGTGAAACAAAATGCAAAGTACGTGTTTTGTCCGAATTCAAATCTCAAATTAAAAAAAAAAGTGTATATTCTAAATCATACGGCAGATCCGATCCTGATTCATTACTCTCGGTTGCCCCAAAATATTGTAACCGATATAATCATTTATTGCAAACATTACCCATTCCAATATGGGTACATTATTACATTCAACATCAGAAACGACCGTAATAAATTTAGGATTTAACAAATAATCCTAAACTCACAATGTTCCACCGCAGACGAGAAATCGAGTAATTTTATGTGTTTACTTAAATAAACGAGAAAAAAATGATTAATTAATTAATTAATTAATACATATAACGGACCATATTACAGAAACTCTGTGCTGTTTCTTCATGCGTTCTTTTCATCAGCAAGGTCGCTTGGAAGATCAATCCCTTGAGGAATCTTCCCAGGATAGTTCGTCGTCGAAGAATCATTCCCCAGCATTCTATGCATCACCAAAGAAGAACAAGACATCACCAACAACAACAAAAAAAAACCGAAACAGAGATCGGGTGCTAATGTCACAAACAAAAAAACAAGTTCTTGCAAGAAAAGATTATGCCTTTTACCCTCTATCAATGATCACAATGGAACGCAGCTCGCAGTTCTTGAAGCTGCACAAAAAAAAACACAGTTTGGTGTTATGTCCTCTGGTTGGTAGTACCGTCAAATGGTGTATGGATGTGTAAAGAGATGTCTAAGTTGTTGGGGTTTAAGGTTAAACAGGAGGAGAGCTTACTGTGCAGACATCTCTTTCTTTATGTCGGTATGACAATCGTCCCCAAACGAACTCAAGAGGCCGTGCAAGAACCCGCTGTGAGAAACAACGGCTATCTCCTTCTCTTTCCTCGTCCATAACCTTCGAAACCAAACAAGCAGCTCGGGGAAATTGCTTACAACCGAGGACTAATGGTGGAAAGTTTACAGAGTGAGTGTTCCCTAGACCACTCACCAGTTAATGAACTGTACTCCTCGGGCTGCAACTTCTTCTGGGCTCTCCCTCGGTTCAGGCTTCCACAAAACATCTTCGTCACTTTCGATCTGATGATAACGAAAACCAATTATACGTTAAGGATCTTCCAAAAGAAGAATAACCAGATAGATTATTACAACAGTCACAAGGAACTTGCCAATGAGAAATCTATTGAAGGAAACAGGGCCTGATACTCTGTAACGCTTCTTCTCCGGTCACAAGGATGATCACCCTGCAATATTAGAGAAAAAACGATATGAGGAACTTATATGATATACCACTCCTGTAATGATCACAGACCGTTTCATGAACTCGGGATTTGTACCATAGTTTCTCGGCACAGCTCAACAGCCAAGAAAGGAGGGCAATTTAAGCTTGAAACTGATGGGCGGTCACTGTTTCCTACATTGGCCACCATCAATGGCGGTGCATTCACTCCATTTGTATATTCCTCACCCCCGAAAGCACCTACAGCTGTTTGCATGGTCCTACGGGCGAAATATCACACGAGTGGTTTTTAGTTTCTGATTCAAATGTCAACAGAAGATTAGTCTCTTCGATGTTAGTGTTAAATGAATTCTTAAACTCTGACTCGAAGATGTTTGGAAGCCGGGAAAAATAGAGGGAAACTGAAAACAGATCATATGAAAACCTTAAAAGAGAGTTTAATAAAGGGTTAAATGACTAATAACATTGTAAATTGTTAGAATTATGTGTTTCATACTTGGAAATAAGAAATGAGAGTTAGCAAACCAAATCGAATCCGATGTAAGAAATCGAATTTATACAAACTTTCTAAAACTAAATTAATTGAATTCGAATATCTCGTTCTTCAAAGTGTTTTAACCGCAAGAGATGTAAACACAAGTTCACTCGATTTACTGCATTGTATGTATACCGGAAAATATCAACTTCAAAGAGCAAAAGCATAATGTTACGGCAAGAATACCTTAGCAATGGGGAAACGATGACCAGATCAACCCGCTTGGAGAGTCCATTTGATTTGACATGCTTCCGCAAAGCATCCACCTATAATATAGGCATCACAACCGTTGCTCAATCATTAAAACCGGGTGAAACACGTAGGGAAAAGACAATCAAATCTCTCGGTACAACGTCAAAACACATGAAATTAACCGAATATACCTGTTGCCAGCCGAGAGCAGTGACTTGTGCGTCGAAATATTCCTCGGAGGAATATGCACTGTGATCCTTCTCTCCCGCTACGTTATGAATCCCCTGAGCATGTCTAACCTACAATATAAGAAGGATTTGTAAAAACTGATAATTTTTCTTTTATTAAAAATTAATGATACAGTTACAGAAAAAATTGTAGCTAACCCAAATTTATTAGTTCAACCGGTGAAACAAAATGCAAAGTACGTGTTTTGTCCGAATTCAAATCTCAAATTAACAACCGCTACGTTATGAATCCCCTGAGCATGTCTAACCTACACGACGAATCGGGTTTACAGGAAACCCATGAAACAGATCAAAGAAAATTTGCAACTTTTTGCAGTGGAAACACAAACCTGAACCACCTAACTAATGATGGGTTCTTACTGGTTTTGTTTCCATAATGATTAGATCAACATCAAAAGTACACGCTACTACCAACCAGATGAATGATCTTTGAACGATGCAGGGGATAAACACCGACGCTAGGTGAAGATTCCATGCCCGAGAGGAATGTCTTGAAACGAGAAGAACATCATCGTCAGAACATCTTTTGAAACAATGCAAAATCTCATAGACCCCGGACTATAAATGAAACCTTCCAAGTGGTTGTGATCAGAAAATTTACCAGAGATTGAGGAGAAAGAAGCACAGAAAAATGTCAGGATTTCATTCATTATTCTAATTAGTGAATTTCATCTGAATAGAAAATGATTCTCAGGGCACCAAAGCAATCTTTTAGTTCTCCCAAAACCACAAGAACAATAAACAAATCGAAAAGCCACAAAATAAGAGATCTGAAGCAATATATTATTTCCAAGTTGCAAACAAAAGTTGAAAATCTTCCCATTATGCATCTTAAAGAAAAGGGATCTGAAAAGCATCTCAGCTTTTCAGTAATCACGAAAACTTATTGAACAAAGCACAAAGATCTCCGACGACAATCGAATGGAACAGGAACTAAGAAGAAATGACCAAATCACGACGAGCCCGAGAAACTCGCGGCAAAAGGCACACGACTTTAAGATCTCTGCAACACGATCCGAGAATTCAAAACCGGGAAATAGAGAGAGAGAGAGAATTCATCGTTCACCTTTGATTCTGAAACTTGTCCTGAGAAGATGATGCTTCGACAACAACTGTATACGCCAAAATGTATACGCAAGTATGTGTGTATATATGGACAGAGGGAATGGAAGGCCCGAAAGATCCGCAAAATCAGCAGTGAAAACCCTTTGTTTTTCTTCGGCGAACAACCATGTCTGCTTTTTTTTATTCTCTTTTCAGTTATTTTTATTTCTCTTTGGTTTAATTCTTCGCATATTCCAAACTATTGGGATGGCGAAAACAGACTTTTCGTCTCTTGGTGACAATAAGAAGGTAACCTTCTGACAGATCCAGAGGGTTCTCTCAAGGGTGAACCTTTCAGGTGATTCAGAGGCTTTCTCTTCCCTTGTTAAGCTTCTTCTTCTAAGGACGAGAACAAGCCATTTCCATCAAATGAGAATTCAGAATCCTCACTAAAATTTCCTGGTTTCGTAGTGCTTTTGTTGGTTTCCTAATTTATATGACCAGTTTTCTACTGTTTTCATTTATAAGTTTGTAAGAAATGTTCTCCTCTTGTCCACAAGATTGATTCCACGGGGAGAATGTGTGCGATTTAATTACGAAATACAAGATATCTCCGAACTTTGGAGATGCAGTTGGATCAAAAATCTTTCCGTTCTAAAAAATTATAAAAAATAAAAAAAAATAAATAAATAAATAGATAATTTAGACCACCAATTAAAAGGTTTTTGAGCACCCATGATACTAAAATTTTTTTTAGGAACCTTACTGTTCTCGTATTAGAACAAGAGTCGTCTTATAGGGACCGAAGTCATACATTTGAACAAGACCCCTAATTTATCTGGATCCCATCTTAAAAAATAATGTGTTCTTTTAAAATTTTCAATTAAAAATTGAGTCAATTCATATAAAATTTTCTAATGTTATCACAAAAATAATTATAACATTAATTTTATATTTTATGGTTGAAAAAATATATAATTTTAATAAATCTTAATATATATATATTAAAATGGATTAAAAAATTAAAATATGTATATATAGACGGTCCTGATCAGAACATTAACATTTTTTTAACGGTCCAACAACACAATTCCACAGTTTTTTTTTAATAAAAAAAGTCTTTACTCGGACCATATTTTCATGGCTCCTACAAAGAAACAACCGAAAACTTGGAAACTAGCAAAACGAGTTAAGAGTCGATAAGTTTCATAAATGGTCTAGATATGAGACGAGGGTTTATATACAATACATGGATAGCGAGAGAGATAATATGGATCGAGAAAACCCAAATTTGAATGGTTTAGTGACGAGAGAATATACAAAACATGTTATTCCGGATTCAAATCTAAGTGTGAAGAGGGATGTTAGTCTGGATTTTTCCGATTTTTTGAGAGATGTGGTTGAGTCAAAACTCGGTGAACATCCGAATTATAAAAAAAATATATGGATTGAAAAAAATATAGTGGTACGAAGAAAATAATAATATTGATATATATATATATATATATAGAATCCTAACCATCTTGATCGCATGATCCCAAACCCTGTATCTTTTTTTTTCTTTCAAAACCATAACAACCAATTTGTGCTCGTTGGTTCTATCGACTTAATATCTCGCGGAAACCCATTGCTTCTTCTACAAATAGTAGTGCCCTTTATTCAATCCATATGAAAATATATGATCTCGTCTTTATTCAATTTATTTAAAATCTTTGAGAAATTTAATACCCTAACCGGAAAGGTATCCTTAAAATTCCAAAACACGTACGATAATAGGAGGAGCCAATCAAACAAAAGAATGTAAAATGGGTTGGCCCGGGACTAACCCATCTCATCTCCATCTCATAATTTCTTTTCTATTTTTTAGATGAATCGAAAAATTGGTCCAATCTGATGTATCTTAGATCACAATCAAATGTGACGGTTCGCGAGCCAAATACATAGCTAAAGAAATACAATTTAAATTTTATTAAGCATACATATAATAAATAATAATAGACTAGATGTTACAAAATAATTTAGAGAAAGGGAGATTATAACAAAAAAAACTATTAAATATAATAAAAAAAATATATTTTAAAAAAATAGTTTGTGAGCCAAGTCGTGGGTTCGTTGAGTTGGATCGTGACGAGATAACTCCTTCGACCTATTTTTTACGAGTTCGAATTTACTGAACTCAACATAGTCAAATATAGACTGGTTCATTCTGCTTACGATCCATATCCATTTTGATATTCCTGATCAAATATATCTGTTGAGAAGATACACAAGGATTCGTTATAATACATAAATAGTGGTTAAACCTTCGTATTTTTAAATTAATTTTTGCGGTAAAATTAGAGTTTTTGGTCGTTTGTATCGGTATCATGCAGATGGTGTATAATATAAAGACGTGTAGTCTAAAAGAATGGAAAAATGAAAAGTTCCACAAATATATATATATATATATATATATATATATAAGAATCCATTTCCATACATACAAGCAATGGCTAAAATGTTTATTTCAATGGTTCGTTATAAGGTAATATAGAAAACATTGTAGTATGAACCGTAAGCCCACCAAATGCATGTATCATAAACTAGGATTCCTATATATGGACGAACAAAAATAAAAGCAATTCACACAATATGCGAATAATTTAATCATGTAGCAAAATGTATAAACGTCGGTCCACAACTGCATATTCTCATCATCGCATCGTGTTGTGTTTTTTTATCCATGTTCACGTACCTGTTTCCATCACCTTGCCATTGCCCGTTCCCGTCGTAAATGGGTCGTTTTTTTTTGTATATATGCGCATATGCTATATAGATATATGAGTCTTATAACCAATTTAACAATAAACTGAATTTCTAAATCGCAAACTATGGATCTAAATAGTCTATGATCTTCTCACCGGTTTGTTTTTCTATATCCGGTATAAATTCTTAATCCGAAAATCCAGACCCTCGGACTCACCTAGAGACTCTCCCTATTTCAAACTTCATCTCAGCTTTCCCCTTCCGTACACCCGAGGATGAACTTCAACACCTTTTGTAAACTCACACGACGACAAATAATCTCCGTTCGATTAAGACATACGATATTCAAAATATCACTTACATTCGATTAGAGATAATTTATTTCATTCCACCAATCATTATTTATGTGTTCTATAGGTCCCATTAAATTTAAAAAAAACGTATTTAGTAGATTATAACCTAATAAAAGGAGAGAAATTTCCGGAGAGTTTGTAAAGATTTCATCTTTCAATTGAGAGGTTGTGGGTTCGACTCTTTATCCACTCACCCGTCATCCGTCAATTATAGATGATTCACATTCTAGATGTGTTATAGATTTATGAATGCACGTAGAAGGAATTTACCCCGTGAATGCATTCGAATGGTAGCAATTAAGTACGTTATAAAAAAACTAATAAAAGATTTCTGATTTGGCTAGTTCAAAAAATAAATCTTGAATCGTATGGGAAATTCAAATGATTAAAAATGTCACGACTTAGGGTATAGGACACAAATTAATAAGATATTTTTGGGTGATTAAATAAAACTAGTCAAATCTAGAAGATTTAAATCGTAGATACCAAACAATGGTCGGTTATGAAATCAAGAGCTAATATAAGGTTTCGAGACATGTGGTTGTTTATTATTAAGGATCGCATCTTAACGATCAACCCAAACGACGAAGGCTTCGAAAATATTCTATATTATTGTTACATAAATATATAAATTCATATATTTTTTATTTATTATTATTTAATATTTTGTATCTTAATGTGCAATATATAAAAAATACTCTTACTTTGCTATTTTGACTTCAAGGTATACCCTTCTCGAACTGTGATCCTGTGACCCATGTCACCAAAAATTTAATCTTGGTCATATTGGTCATGACATTGAATTTATAATTTTTTTATCAAATGATTAGTGAGATATATAAGGTATGAACATAATGAATGAGTGTGATCATCGTAAATTTAACGATATGACCAAGATTAAATTTCTGGTCACATGGGTCAGAGAGTCACAGTTGGAGAAGGATATACTTTGAAATCAAAATAGCAAAGTAATGGTATTTTTTATAATATCCCATCTTAATGTGTTATAACTATCATCATGTGTTGTGATCAAGGAACGACGACGGTAATGATTTAAAAGAAAACGAGTTGAAATTATTGTTTTCCACTGAAATATTTAATACTATTTTATATTCATTTAATTATAATATAGTATACAAGTCAAGTTGTATTTAATAATTTGATTATATCTTCATTAATTATACTCGTGGTTGAGGAAACGAATCTTCACATATGTGCTGTCCAAATCTTTAAGTCATGTGCCATTTTTCCTTTTTCTAAAAATTACAAAATCTAGTTCTTAGTCCACTCTAGTCAACATGGCATTTTCTTGTGTTTATATTGTTTTGTAAGGGGGAAGACCCCACATTTTAATAAAGGATATTATGAAATACATCAGTTTTCATGTTGTTGATCCTCCAAATGTATAAAATGGTAGCCGTATGAAACATTAAATATAAGGAAATATGAAATATATACAAAACAAATTTTATTCAAAAATAATTTAAACATGAAAGTGTAATATAAATAGAGAATTTATGTTTCGTCCTTTCGGTTATCCTTAGATTATTTTCATTGTATACATTTTTGTATTGGAAAATAATATTATTTCGTTTTTATAATCAGATTCAATTCAGACGAAAATTTTATTTGATTTTCTAAAAGTTTGAATTTTTAGTAAAATTAATAATTTATACTTAATTAATTTTAAAATCGATAATAATTTAGATATAAATATATTATTATATTAAATCATTAATGGATTCGGTTTTATAACATCCTAAATGCATGATTATCGCATGCCAAACAAAAATCACAGATCAAATCAATTTTATGACATACCAAACTATAATATACCAAATTTTAAAATCTTGATTTTTGAAATGGTTATAACATATATGACTCGGAATAAATTGCAAAGTATTTTCCTTCTTTTAAGGCATCTAAAATGTGTAAAATAACTATACATTTAAAAGAGTATGAAATGACATAAATTAGGAGGGAACAAAAGTAAGGCCTTGAATGGTAGGAGTTTTTGGAGTTTTTAGAATCCAAAAACCAAAAAAAATAACATTCAAGTTTTTACAAAATTACTTTTCCTAAAACTTGGAAAGCCATTTTAGTGAAAAAATCAA